AGCGTCTCTGATAAATCTTTGGAAAGGAAAAGCTTCTATTGCATGTTTATGGTGGTTGTTTGTGTGGTTATATGAGGTTGGCCAAACAGACAAACAAAAATGCCAAAGATTCTGCATGTTTGAGGTCTTTTAGATTAGTGTAACTATTTCATAGTATGTCCACCAGGGGGCACTGACAAATTTGTTGTTTAGCTGCAAAATGTCTTTCGCAATTACATGTGGTCGGAAATCTTAAAAAAAAAAAGTAGCTTATATATATATATACAGTACAGACCAAAAGTTTGGACACACCTTCTCATTCAATGTGTTTTCTTTATTTTCATGACTATTTACATTGTAGATTCTCACTGAAGGCATCAAAACTATGAATGAACACATGTGGAGTTATGTACTTAACAAAAAAAGGTGAAATAACTGAAAACATGTTTTATATTCTAGTTTCTTCAAAATAGCCACCCTTTGCTCTGATTACTGCTTTGCACACTCTTGGCATTCTCTCCATGAGCTTCAAGAGGTAGTCACCTGAAATGGTTTCCACTTCACAGGTGTGCCTTATCAGGGTTAATTAGTGGAATTTCTTGCTTTATCAGTGGGGTTGGGACCATCAGTGGTGTTGTGCAGAAGTCAGGTTAATACACAGCCGACAGCCCTATTGGACAACTGTTAAAATTCATATTATGGCAAGAACCAATCAGCTAACTAAAGAAAAACGAGTGGCCATCATTACTTTAAGAAATGAAGGTCAGTCAGTCCGGAAAATTGCAAAAACTTTAAATGTGTCCCCAAGTTGGAGTCGCAAAAACCATCAAGCGCTACAACGAAACTGGCACACATGAGGACCGACCCAGGAAAGGAAGACCAAGAGTCACCTCTGCTTCTGAGGATAAGTTCATCCGAGTCACCAGCCTCAGAAATTGCAAGTTAACAGCAGCTCAGATCAGAGACCAGATGAATGCCACACAGAGTTCTAGCAGCAGACCCATCTCTAGAACAACTGTTAAGAGGAGACTGCGCGAATCAGGCCTTCATGGTCAAATAGCTGCTAGGAAACCACTGCTAAGGAGAGGCAACAAGCAGAAGAGATTTGTTTGGGCCAAGAAACACAAGGAATGGACATTAGACCAGTGGAAATCTGTGCTTTGGTCTGATGAGTCCAAATTTGAGATCTTTGGTTCCAACCGCCGTGTCTTTGTGAGACGCAGAAAAGGTGAACGGATGGATTCCACATGCCTGGTTCCCACTGTGAAGCATGGAGGAGGAGGTGTGATGGTGTGGGGGTGTTTTGCTGGTGACACTGTTGGGGATTTATTCAAAATTGAAGGCACACTGAACCAGCATGGCTACCACAGCATCCTGCAGCGACATGCCATCCCATCCGGTTTGCGTTTAGTTGGACGATCATTTATTTTTCAACAGGACAATGACCCCAAACACACCTCCAGGCTGTGTAAGGGCTATTTGACCAAGAAGGAGAGTGATGGAGTGCTGCGGCAGATGACCTGGCCTCCACAGTCACCGGACCTGAACCCAATCGAGATGGTTTGGGGTGAGCTGGACCGCAGAGTGAAGGCAAAGGGGCAAACAAGTGCTAAACACCTCTGGGAACTCCTTCAAGACTGTTGGAAAACCATTTCAGGTGACTACCTCTTGAAGCTCATTTAGAGAATGCCAAGAGTGTGCAAAGCAGTAATCAGAGCAAAGGGTGGCTATTTTGAAGAAACTAGAATATAAAACATGTTTTCAGTTATTTCACCTTTTTTTGTTAAGTACATAACTCCACACGTGTTCATTCATAGTTTTGATGCCTTCAGTGAGAATCTACAATGTAAATAGTCATGAAAATAAAGAAAACGCATTGAATGAGAAGGTGTGTCCAAACTTTTGGCCTGTACTGTATATATATAAATAAATGCAAATATTGCTCAATTTATCCATCAAGGTCTAATTTCTGGTCATATTTAAAGGAGCAGTGTGTAGAATTTTGGGGGATATATTGGCAGAAATGGAATATATCATTCATAATTCTGTCTTCATCAGTGTATAATCACTTGAAACTAAACATTTTCATGTTTTCGTTGGCTTAGAATGATTTATATCCACACTGGAAGCAGGTCTCCTCATCCATGGAGCACACCATGTTGCACCACTGTGTTTCTATGGTAGCCCAGAACAAACCAAACCAACAAACCAAACACTGGTTTTTCGGTTACCTAAAAGCAATGGTGGACTTGGCACATTTGCTTCCCCTGGTGCCCCCCATACAAAATTATCTTTTATATTTATTTTATTTATTAATTACAAGAACAACAGCCAACGAGAAATCAACACAAATAAACAACTTAGCTAACAAACAATAATAATAAATAACAAACAAGAGAATACGATATGTGCAATTTGCTAATTTTGTCTTTTTCTCCACTCTCCACTCAACCATTTCCCTTAGGTTTGATTTATTTTAAATGTTAAATGTCTTTCATTCTTTCTTTTCTTTTTTTTTATTTGACACCACATCCTCCTGTCTGCTGCCTATGTTGCCTATAGACAGATCCGCCAATGCCTGAAGACCACCGTAAGCTCTCTTCATACTTGGAAACAGAGGTCTAAGTAGAAGGGGTATTCAGTTAGTTGCAATCTGCAACCTCACCACTAGATGGCACTAAATCATGCATACTGCTTATTTCATTTATTTGGGGCCACAATTATTTCTTAAACGTTTTCACTAAAATATTCTTTAGATAATGATGGAAAACAAGTTATAACTGAATGTTGAACGAAGGTCCATGTAAAGTGAGAAAAAAGAGAGGATGTTTTAAAAGTGATGACTAATGGGTAACAGAGTTTCAACACTAATAATTGCCAGATTATAGTGAGGTAATGTAGCTCATGGAAACCATACTGACTAAATATTATTGTTTCACTGATATTTTTTTAGTTTCTTTTATAAATAAGAACCAAAAATTAGTTGAAAAGAGTTTTAAAAATTTAGTTTTCACAGCATCTGTCGTTTGCTTACACAGAAAAGATAGCTACATCACTGCACGGCTTATAAATGTTCACACCAGACATTTGGATGCTATATATATATTAAGTTCAAAGATACTGCCTGTTTTCTGTCAAACTAATTTAGTCGTGTATGTCCAGATTTGGTACAGTTATTTAATTTATTTCTATATTTTCTAAAACAGAATGGGGCAGTAGTGTGGAAACAGATATTTTCCACTCTCTGTTTTCCTTTTTCCATGCTTATTCAGACCTGGGAATTCCTAAAAATCAGATTTTTCCATACTGCGGAGAAACACTGGGTCAAGGAATGGAAGACAGGACAGACAAAAGAAAAATATTATCAACATGCAACAAGGGGCATCTTCCCTGAATCCCACAATGTGTCTCACTATTGTGTCTTCTTGTCCAACAGATATGCAGAGCTCTCTAATTTCTTCAAGGCTTTCACACAAGTACAAAAAAAATGGTTACTGACTTTATGAGCAACCCAGTGCAAGCTGGTATCATCTTACGATTCCATTAGTTCAGTCTCCATCTGGTTTATAAACTTAAACTCCTCAGAAAAAAAAGGGCTTGCTGCAGTGTGCCAAATCAGCTGCCTGGCACAGGGCCGACACTGGGTACACACCATGGCTCCCAAGCTCGAGTTCTTTCTCTCTTCTCGCCTCTATTTTGTGTCAGAGATTAAAAATAGCAAGCGGCCTTCTGCAGAATAAGCAGTTCATGGATTCTGGCTTTGACACTGTGTTTGCCTGGAGAGGCCAGCTGTCACCTGCGTGCAGGAAGAGTAGGCCTTACCACTGATTCTCAATACACAGTGGGCTCGAAGCTTTGGCTGCTAGACGAAATGGGTGTGTCTGCGCATCCATTTCACAGTTCTGGAAAACTTTTGGTGTTAATAACTTTGGTTTGTCAGTTACACAATCATACTAAGACACTTTGTTGAATATTTACTGTATGTATTTGAAGCTGGAAAAATCGTTGGACATGAACAAAACCCTGAACAATGGACAGTAACATTTAATACGCTTTTACATGGCACCCAAAATAAATGTTTTCCAAAAATAGATATGTTAATTCAATTAAATAAAGAATTTGAACGTGATTTCAGACAACTCAGTGTAGATTTGTGATGCTGGAACAATTTCTCCCGAGGACAGAAAGAAGAGAATCAAGTTAAGCTGCTTTAATCTGTAAAACAATCAAAAGACTGAGACTGCTGCATTTAGAATTAATGAGGGACCAACCTTGCGAACACTTAGAAATGAGTCAAGCGATTTTTTCTGCGGATATGGGCTCATTTTCTGGTTCGGAACATTACTATCAAACAAACCTCATCTGTGTGTGAAAGCTCAAACAAATATTACACTGAGTTCACAAAGTCAGCCTCTGTGTCAGAGTGGAAGTTTAGATCAGATGAAATTCCCACTTGTGTGGTTTCGAGCTTAAGGAGGGAGCTGATACAAATATCAATCAAAACTTTCAATGTCACGAGACCAGTGGTTCCGAACTCAAGTGCCCCTTCATTGTCTCTGCTTGTGGTGTTCCCAATGTGTTCATTTGGATTCATTTTAAAATGTTATTTCAGGATTTAGAGTGCAGTGAAAGAGTGTCGTGTCAATGTTTAGGTTGGTCTGGTCTGGCCTTGCATTTTGTCCAATCATAGCAACTTTCCTGTACATTTATCCAATCATCATAGTTTCCCGTAAGTGTCACCACTCATAGCAGTCCCCAACTAAACCTTTTGCTTTTAATTTATAGGACAGTATTGAGCGTGAAAGGGGCAGAGAGAGAAGGGATCGTTATTGTTAAGCCCTGCATGAATCCATTACTTTTGTTTTACTGTCTGTTTTGTTCATATTATTTGAGCTATTCCACAGTCTTTCCAAGTACATCCTGTAGTATAAGTACCCCTGGTTGGGAATCACTGCACTGGACAAATCAGATATCTTTTGTTGTGTATATGTCGGTAATACCATCTTCAAGACAGGTCATACTGCTGGTTTATGCTTTTATATTAATAAATATCAGTATACATTTCTACATATAAGGCACATGTTGTCGCATTCAAATATCAACTTCTAAATAAAAATAAATAAGGACAAATTTAAACTTGCTGATGAGCAAGATTCATCCATTGAGATGAAGAGACATCAGTAGAATCTCAGATATGAATATTATTCATTTACACATACGTACAGCACATTCATTACATGTTAGGCCAATTTGGACTCCCTGTGAGAGTCATAACAAAATGCAGCACTAAGTTTATTGGCATCCCTTAAGGAAGAAGAAGAAAGCAAACAATTGGGATTATCTTATCGCAGGGGGAAAGGAAGAGGGGAATATGGGGCGCAGGAGTTGAGGCTGCCATATTTGTTATTTTCCTAGCTAAATTCTCCCTGTAGGGCATGAAGTTTGCGACTCCATTGATTTCGAGATTGCCTGTTCCTGCGCAGCAACAAGCCTGTCTCGATACAAAGTGCACCTCTGGCTCCTTCAGTGGTGGCTGAAAAAGTGTTTTCTCTCTGTTTTATTGACTGAAACAGAGCTGCTAGGTGGAAAAGGGGGCAAGTGAGCGGTGGTGTCACTGTGTGAATGCAACTAGGATTGATGATTGCAATTATCAATACGTATGTCTTTTGGTGACGTCAGATCATGCCAAGTTGTCACTATGACAGGTGTCACTGCGCAGATCCACAATGTCCCACTCCCCTGTATTCGACTCCTCTGTGGACTTGTTCTCTGGAATTGATACTGAGGCTTCTACATGATCAGGTTCATGATTTGACCCATCGTCCTGGGATTCGCTGGGCTGAGTACCCACCTCTGAATGACCCACAGAGGCTTGTATGACTTGAAGCCATGGAAGGTCTGATTCAGTGGGCGTGACACCCAGCGCCAGAGCTGCCTCTTCTCCTTCCTCCACCGTGGAACCCAGTTCCTCATCCTCGACTCCCTCGACCTCGTGCCCCGCCTCTTCCACGGGACTCCGCCCCTCCTCCAGCTCTATCGCGGCTCCGTCTTCCGTCAGGGTCACGATCTCCCCCACTCTCCCGTCGATCCCATTCGTCTCCACCCCCACCCCAACTAGAGGCTCCAGGCTGTTGAGCAGTGCAGGTGCGTCTTCCCTGCTGACGCCATCTGTGCCAAGGTCGCTGCCAGCGGTGTGGCATTCCCACGATGATTCATGTGAACTTCTGTCGTCTGACACAACTGGGAGAGGGAAGATGAGACAACTGGTCATTTTAATTACTCACTTGATCTGAGGCCACAGTTACATCAGAAAACAAGTACTTTTGCCCCAGTTCTGTTCCTCTGAAGGAGTTATGAAGTAAGATCGCGACTCAAACAGACACAGAGCTGCCAGAGTAGGACTGATGTCACAATAAACCACTGAATAGCCAGTATAAACAAAGGATGCTGACAAAATCTTCTACTGTCATGCCAGTTGATTAGTTAATTACTTCTTTTATGTCTTTTTTTATGTGAGAAAATTAAACTATGATAAAAAATTAAAAAAAAAAAAAAAAAAACACTTTCAAAAGAAAACCTGAGGAAAACTTTTTTCTTTTTGGACCACTGTGTCAATGTAGAAAGTTATTTCAATTACTTATGTGACTGAAGTGCTTCCATGGCAACAGGCTAAATATAGCAGCAGTGCCCCAGACAAGGGGACGCAAGACAAGTGTGACACCCTGCATCTCGGCAATAGCAACAGCTTAGTTCTGCTTCTTCGCCAAAATATGCTCTCACTTTGGGGATTACTGACCCATATTTGTGGAATGTGCAGGCAAAAAGGTTAAAGACTGCACATAGAGTCCCAGCCACCTTTTCCCACACACACACACACACACACACGCCAAAACACACAGGAAGAAAGCAACATTACTTGAACTGGCATCCATATTTATGGCCCCCCGTCCCCCATCCCCTTTCAAAGAGAACACGGCAGAAGTTTCTGAATGTCAGCGGGCGAGAATTTGCTTCACATTTCCAAAATGCCATGGCATTTGGGCAGCTTGCACCAATGAGAAGCAGACAGGAGAGGAGGCGGGAAGGGAAAGGACTTGGGTTAAACATGGAAGATAGCGAGGAGTGTTTCGCACGTGGTGGCTAATTACAGTGTTTATGCCTTTAGCTGCGAGTCCTCTTATCAATGGCTGAAGATGCCAGTTACACACAATTACGCACTCACCTTTGGGTGACTGCACTCCGGGCTGCATGTTTGGCTGAGATGTGGCACGTGTTGGATGGAGCTCCGGTTGAAGGTTTTCATTTGGTGTGCTATGGTCTCGTGTCCCTGTGAGACCGCCATCAAGGAACAAACACAACCCGTTACCTTCACATCCAAGTGACAACAAAAAGGCAAAGTAAGTGGTGTGAAGAGTTTTGGGCATGTCAGGATTGGATGGAGCTCATCCAAGCACATGTATGGTGCTGTGCTGTGCATACAAACATACACGCACGTATGCATTGCAGTGCTCACAGGAAGTGGCTTCAGTTCCCTGTCATCTGTCTTCATTAGTGATGGCTGCACGCCTCTTAGGCTGACACCATATGCTACTCATAGGAGACTGTGCACTATAAACCAGACATCACAAATACACACACACACAACTCTATTCACATAGACACACGCATACACATGAGCCTGTAAGTGTGCACATCAGCCTTCACAGAAACCCTGTGAATAGGCCCTGTTTCTCTGACCATTCAAGTGTGAGGCACAAAAACAAACAGAAGAATGAGAAAATGGATGGCTGGGTGATGCGATGCGTGAGAGCCATGAATGGTGAACGGAGACCATATTGTTATGAATGCAGTCCATATTGTTATGGATGCTCAGTGCTGACAATGACGTGGGCACAGTGAGTGATAGCGTGGGGTGGGGGCTGTGTGGATCCCGAGGCTCCTACAGACCGACTGGGGCGTCAAGAGAAGCAAGCAAGTTGTCGGTTGTCTAAAAAGTACCTTTACTTTTTTTTTACATTTGAATCACTATGTTGAATTGTTCTTATTGAAATATCTCAACAACTATTGGATGGACTGCAATGAAATTTGATACAAAGATTTAAGCACCCTCAGGATGAATTCGAATAACTTAATTGATCGCAGATCATTTCAATTGGTCTATGACTTTGGGTCATGACCAAATAACTGCCAAATTAATGACATTCCCATCATCCTCAGCTGTAAATTATGGTCATTGCTAAGAAACAGTTGGTAGCAGGCTAACACTCTGGTGAATATTGTGTTAAGCATCAGCATGTTAGCATGCCGATGTTAGCATTTAGCTAGAAGTACCGCTCACAGGGTCGCTAGAATAGAAGCAGCCTCATAGCCTCTTTTCTTTCCCTCTATAGGCCTGATTGTAATTACTTGTGGAATTTATATTGAGTGATGTCATTAAGCAGCTAATTTCTATAGATTATTAGCAAATGGTACAAACACCTGTTGTAATAAGGGGCCGATAATGTGAGTAGAATTTTCCTTCATGGTATATGTAAAATTATGTACTGATTAAATCAAAATAGAGTGAATGTTCTTACACTTTTTATCGATACAATTTCTAGATGAGAATAGCTGTTTTTGGCTAATCGAATGAATCAAATATCTAGGAGGCAAATTAAGGTGTTCGAGGTCTCTACTGAAAAATCTTGTGGATCATATATCGCCAAAGAGCAATTGTGCTCATTGACTTGCAACACTGCACACAACGATCCAGTACGACCGGAGATATCAATCAATCGCATCAGTTAAGACAAAGCTCCATGTGAATGATTGCGACCACTGACAAGTCTGTTATCTCAAGATATATTGATATATCTTCGATTCCCGTTTGCGGACTTTAATTTTCTAGGTTCTTTAACAGTGACATATCATGTGTCCACTGTCAAAAGACAAAAGAATCAGCACTTCTTCAGAGGCAACTATCCTGTTCATTAAGCCCAGAAAGCTGGCCTGTACCTTTAAGATTCTACAACTACATCTGAGCAAAAGTTACGGATGTAACCATGGTGACATCACCCATTGGTTTGTGGACTCCCGTTTTGATTTCTGGAGGCAGGAGTGACCAAAGTTGGACGAGAGGTGCAGTTTGCAGTTTTTGGCACTTTGACCACAGAGGTTGCTGCTTGATCTGAGCATAGTCTAGAAGTTTTGAGACAGGGGCCTGAGAGGAGTTCTGCAGACTTGCTTTGAAATCCAATAAATAAGGGGGTGTTAGTTATTGGTACGAAGAGTGAGGGCCAGACTGAACCCAGTGGTGTGTCTCCTGGAGCCAGGCAGCACTCAGGAGAAAGCAGGAGGACCCTGTGACTTCTTTTAAACCTTACTGGCATTTGCCTGTCCAACCATCTAAACATCTCATCGCATTATGATGCTCCAACATACCAGATCACATACTCTATATCACAAATAAGGAGAGAGAGAAAAAAAGAGATGTCTGTCAAATAGTCAGACGGTTAAACCCTACACTGAGATGCAGTGCTGTCTAGCTCCAGAGTGACAAGGAAATGCCTTCCTCTTAACTGGAGAAAGTCTGTCACTGGACCAAAACAGAGCTATATAGGTGCATTCTGTATCCACCTCTGTCTTTTCAATAGCTGATGCATGCTGACAGGCTTTCACTTGCTGTGTTACATTTCAGCTTGCACTCATTCACCATGGGGGGGGGGGGGGCCTGGCGGACTGGCGGACTGGTGGGGATCCATCAATCACAACTTTATCTGACTCACTGCATCGATGTCATTGTTATTGTTTTTGGCTCTCTCTCATCCGGAGACAACGTAGTCACCTCTAGTGTTCTCCGGGCCTCAGATAGGCAGCCAAGGCCCTCCATCCTACCCTGTTTGCCTTTAATATCCATCAGCCCAACTTCATATCACATCAAGGCCACAGACGCTCGCATCTCTCTCTATATTTCTGTCTCCCTAACTGTGGTGGACAGCGTGGTCGTCAGGCACTCTGGGCCCTCGCCTACAAATTCCCTAATAACGGCACATTCCCCTAAATGTGTTTGTAATGTGGGCAATCATTTTCAGTAATGGATGCTTGTCAGTTTTATGGCGGTGAGAATGACGGTCTCATGACAGGGCACCTCCATCCAGCCGCAGCCCCTCCACCTCGCAGTTCCGGTTCATATGCGGCACAACATCTCCCTCCAGTGGGGAAAATGGGGAACTATTTTCTAGGTGGACTGTCATCACCTGGCTGTATGTGGAAATTCTTTTTAGGCTGCAAATGTAGTTTGGGATACTAATTTTTTAAGCAGTTTACATTTGATAGATTGTTAAACTATTTTTGTTTGGTTTTGCTGCTCTGAGGATGAGGTTTGTTAAAGGGAGGGGAACGGGTGGCAGCTGTCTCAGCAAAATGTCAAGGCTGCTATGGATACAGTGCATGTCAAAATATTAAATACATAAGCCTCGGGTTACTCATTTAAAAAAAAAAATGCATGAATACAGGTGCAAAAAAAAGTGTTCTATATTTGATTGTGTTTTGGAATATTAGTTGGGTCAAATTTAAGAAGCGTTTCTCCACTGTCTCACATTATGACAAGAGTTTAAAGAAAAATATCAGCAATTTAAAAAGCATATTTAATGATTCATTTTCACTCTCATGTCCTAAAAACATTGCTTCTGAGCACATTTTAAAATGAGCCTTGAAAACAGTAGCGTTCCGCCTTAAAAAGGTCTCTCCTGTTCTTAAAAGAAGCCCAACCCCAACATTAAATAATAATCTTTTTCCCCTGAGTATAAAATTTCAGACAGATCCACCAGACCAAAAGGATCAGTGTGTGATATTCAGGCAGAGCGCACCAGTCAATGGTATCATGAACAGACACATGAGCGGGTGGTCAATGGAGTCGACACGTTGTAAACGGTGGGCATGAGGTGACACACTTTCTGGGCGTCTGCCCAGATTTGTCCTGGCATGACATAGTAGAGGGCATGGATGGGCTAAGTGGGGCAGAAGGAATACATACTCCCAATTCCCACGGATACGCGGTAGGTCAAGCCTGAGACGCAGCCAGAGAGGAGAGAAAGACACACTGTTATGGACATTAAACGTCATTAATGTATTTTGATTAAAACAATAAGGGAAATCAGTGTAAGCGAGCGTGCTGGCTGGAAAAATTAGAGGAAAATAGTTGTTTTTTTAATTCATAAAAACATAAATGACATCACAAGGGTTTCAAGAGCAATGTACGAGAAGATTAATGTTAGGAAAAACATTTTCTTCTCAAATTTCCATAAGAAATTCATTATAAAGGGACAGAAATGGCACAGTTTATATAAAGTTGGTTTAAAGTGGTTAACCCTTTTCACTTATATGTTTACTTTATGTACCCACACACACCCATGGTGACACGGTCATGTTTGCTAATGGTGTGGCACAGTTACAGCAGTAGCTCTCAAACTTTTTCTGTCATGGCCCCCTTCAGAAGCATAAAAAAGCTCTCTTTTTTTTATTTTACCCCTGTTGCTCTAATTCCATAGTCTTAAAAATCACTGTTGACAAGCTGGAATAATCAGAAACATTTATTTAAATTTATATCCATGATAAATGACTGTGCCACTGAAATACTGTTCATGTTTTACACATATAAGTGACTGTTATTACTCTATATTTGCTTAATAATTGTGTTTGATGTTCGATTAAAACATGGAGGGATTGTGGAGACTTAAATAAGGAGACTGCAGTGTGGTACAGCTTAAAATGTGTGTGGGTTTTTTTGGGGGGGGAGCTTTAACACAGACCCACCTGGAAGACTCCACAGTCCTGAAACCTCCAGTGTCTTCAGCTTCTTTTCCAAATCTGCCACTCTGTTCCCAAGGATCCTGCAAGCCAAGAACGATGGGTCAGGTCACTGTTTGTGTGTGTTTGTGTATTCGTGTGTCACAGTTCAATGTTTGCCTTGGAGGTGGAGGAGGATTCTCAGAACAGGTATGCAAACATTTTAAGTGTGCCAGGAGGATGGGGAAAGTTTAAGGTCAGCCTTATGAAAAAGTCCTCCAGTGGAGGAGCAGGTGAGGGTTCCCCCGACATAAATTTACCTGTTGGTGTGCCTCTGATGCTGGATGACCAGGTTCTTCTCGTGGATGGTCTCAAGCAGAGCCGTGGCCAGGGACTTGAGGTCGGATATGGACTGAGGCGTGGCTGGCAGGCTGCAGCCCTGCTCCTCCAGAAGCATCTCCTGGACTAAAAAGTAGAGGGAGATGAAAAATAGGAGTGAAGCAGATAAAAGAAAGACAGGTGGTAAGGGGAATAGAAAGAGAAAATATTTAGTTTGAAGCCAGTAGTAACCTACAACTTGCCCATAATGCACCAATAAAACTCTTGCAAAACTTTAAAATATACACAAGACAGGGTGATTTAACATGAGACGGGGAAAACAGCATGACAAGAGCAAGACAGAGATGGAGAGTTCGAAACAGCTGTCTACTAGAGACACTCTCCTAACTTTAACTCCAGAGCCTACTGTGCTGCTTCTGCCAGCAACTGTCAGTCATCTTGGCAGGCTCATTTCCCTGCCAGTGGTGCTCTCTACCACTCAGAATACAATTAGTAACTCAGCTGGTGTCCGGGCGGTGGCTTGAAGGATCGGCAAAAAGGGAGTTATTAAATAATGCAACGAAACAAGGCAAGAAACAAAGGTGTTTTAAGAAACTGATGTGTTATACTGAGGGAAGAATCAGAGATGCAGGGTATGTTTAATTAAAAGCGACTTCACACGTCATAACACGTACATTTTACTGGCCTTCACTCCTCTCCTGATCAGCTGCTGTGGTGTCTGTTTATGTTAGAGTTTAAAGAGAAATCAAAGGGAGCTGAACAGTTTGTGTTTTCACCTTGTTTGGCGGAGAGTACTCCAGTGAGGGGACTGTTGTTTGATTTCCCATATGTGCTGGAGTTTTTCCTCCTCTCAAGAGCTGTCTGTGGGGAGGGGAAAAACAAGAGGATAAATCTTGCCCTGCCATGTCTGAAGAACACTTTAAATAAAAGTTTTACTTTCAGTGCACGTGCATACGAATACAAATTCAGTGATTTTTTTCAGGATCCATAGATCAGTCATTCCATCTGTACCTTGTACTTCATGATGTTGGATTTCAGCAGGTTCACCTCCTCTTGCAGTTGGCTGAAACGCTCATGCAAATACCTATAGTAAAAATGATCACAATCACAAACAGAAGAGTTGGAGGACATTTAACAACACTGATAAGGTGCAGACTGCATGCAAAGCATAACAGATACTAACAGTTTACAACTCATATAACATAAATAGTAGAGTGTCCTGAAAACTTTCTTCATGTTCACTGATGTGGACGAGAAAAGGTACAACTATCCACAAAGTGTACCAAAGAAATTGTGAATAGATTTCTGCAGGGATGATGTTTTTTTTGTGGCGGAAACTAGTGTCGCCCTGGTTCTGTTGTCAACAAGCCAATGGGATTTTTCCATCAAATTCTGGATTATTGAAGAAAATAAGATTAAAGTTTATGATACTTACACAATTAGTTCAGCGAGATAATCTTTAAAAATGAACAATTTCATGATTTTTGAAGCATAAATGAATAAAAAGCTAACATTAGGCTCTGTGCGAACTACACTACGGTCACCATCACAACAAGGCTGTAAAGCCATGTTCAGTGTGATGATGATCTGTAGCCACTTTTTAGCAACCCCCTTTTTTTAAGACACTTAAAAGTTTCAAAATGTACAAGTGGTGAATTTACTGATGTGAGATTTTTGATTAATAATCAACAGTAATGTGGATAAAGGGTCAGCAGTCAACAGTAGAAGTAGAATACTCTGGTAAGTTTAGAAAATTACATTACTGTAATGCAGCCTTTAACGGTCCAGTGTGTCGGATTTAGAGGTTGCAGAACTGAAACTTCTCCTGTGTGCCAAGAGTGTAAGACAACTACAACTCAAAAAAAGCAAATGGCTCAAAGTAGAGCCAGTGTTTGATTTGTCTGTTCTGAGCTACTGTAGAAACAACATGGCAGCCTCCGTGGAAGAGGACCTGCTCTGTATGTAGATATAAATGGCTCATTCTAAGGTAACTAAAACACAACAATCTTATTTTCTGGTGATCATAAACTAATGAAAACATAGTTATTAATGTGATATACCATTTTTGCTGGTAGATGCCCCAAAATCCTAAACACTGGACCTTTGAAACCAAGAAAAGACAGCGCTTACTATCTAATAATATCCAAAATCTGAGACGATTGGAAAACGAAGTCGGTGCACTTTTTCCACAAACGTGGAGGAGCATATCTTAAATACAGAAACAAAAATATAGATCTAGAAATGAAAACCAAACATGATCAATGATGAAGAATCAAAATAAAGTGGCTGCTAAGCTTCTTTGTAATTTTGTAACATGGTTACGTCCTTCTGTCTTATACTTTGCTTTTCTGCTTTCACCAGATATTTTGGCTGTAATCCCCTAACAGCATGATTATTCAACAAAGATTTACATCCGGTTTATTGTTTACATCCGTTAAAGTGTGAGAAAAAAGGGACGAGAGATAGTGAGTCTACACGGGCAGCAACTACTAAGATTTAAAGCAAGTTCCTTGGAATCTGCTGCTAATGGAAAACGTTTAGAAGCTGGAATGGAGATTTAGGAAACCAGAGGAGGAACAGGCTTGAAACAATGTGATCGTTAGAGGTGTACTAGATATCTGCTTCTTTGTCCCACTTGCCTGTTCTCCATGCAGAGGGCATCCACATCAATGATGCGTGCCTCACGGTTGCCCAAGACGTGGTTGAGTTCCACGTTGAGCCGGTAGGCCTTCTCCCTGAACACACTGCGCTCCGCCTTCACGTCCTGCAGCTCGTCTGTCAGAGCCTTCATGTTGTGCTCCATCTCCTCCATCTAGAAACAGGCAAAAACTGTAAGAGAAGCCACTTAAATATATTCTAAAGCTTTGTTTACTAAAGTGGAGTTTGCTGAGAGTGCATACACTGTTTTCAGTAATCAGCAACTCCACTGTGAAACCACGTCTGCTGTTTTCAACTGAGTGAGTGGCTCCAGTAGAGCAGATAGAACTTGAGTGCCGTGTTCAATAACACTTCAGCAGCGGGTCTAAAGGAAAGGTAAGTATTGTTTCATCAAAATAATAAAATCCAATACAACATCACCACATTTTAAGCCTCATACTGGCAATATACAGTACAGGCCAAAAGTTTGGACACACCTTCTCATTCAATGCGTTTTCTTTATTTTCATGACTATTTACATTGTAGATTCTCACTGAAGGCATCAAAACTATGAATGAACACATGTGGAGTTATGTACTTAACAAAAAAAGGTGAAATAACTGAAAACATGTTTTATATTCTAGTTTCTTCAAAATAGCCACCCTTTGCTCTGATTACTGCTTTGCACACTCTTGGCATTCTCTCCATGAGCTTCAAGAGGTAGTCACCTGAAATGGTTTTCCAACAGTCTTGAAGGAGTTCCCAGAGGTGTTTAGCACTTGTTGGCCCCTTTGCCTTCACTCTGCGGTCCAGCTCACCCCAAACCATCTCGATTGGGTTCAGGTCCGGTGACTGTGGAGGCCAGGTCATCCGCCGCAGCATTCCATCACTCTCCTTCTTGGTCAAATAGCCCTTACACAGCCTGGAGGTGTGTTTGGGGTCATTGTCCTGTTGAAAAATAAATGATCGTCCAACTAAACACAAACCGGATGGGATGGCATGTCGCTGCAGGATGCTGTGGTAGCCATGCTGGTTCAGTGTGCCTTCAATTTTGAATAAATCCCCAACAGTGTCACCAGCAAAACACCCCCACACCATCACACCTCCTCCTCCATGCTTCACAGTGGGAACCAGGCATGTGGAATCCATCCGTTCACCTTTTCTGCGTCTCACAAAGACACGGCGGTTGGAACCAAAGATCTCAAATTTGGACTCATCAGACCAAAGCACAGATTTCCACTGGTCTAATTTCCATTCCTTGTGTTTCTTGGCCCAAACAAATCTCTTCTGCTTGTTGCCTCTCCTTAGCAGTGGTTTCCTAGCAGCTATTTGACCATGAAGGCCTGATTCGCGCAGTCTCCTCTTAACAGTTGTTCTAGAGATGGGTCTGCTGCTAGAACTCTGTGTGGCATTCATCTGGTCTCTGATCTGAGCTGCTGTTAACTTGCCATTTCTGAGGCTGGTGACTCGGATGAACTTATCCTCAGAAGCAGAGGTGACTCTTGGTCTTCCTTTCCTGGGTCGGTCCTCATGTGTGCCAGTTTCGTTGTAGCGCTTGATGGTTTTTGCGACTCCACTTGGGGACACATTTAAAGTTTTTGCAATTTTCCGGACTGACTGACCTTCATTTCTTAAAGTAATGATGGCCACTCGTTTTTCTTTAGTTAGCTGATTGGTTCTTGCCATAATATGAATTTTAACAGTTGTCCAATAGGGCTGTTGGCTGTGTATTAACCTGACTTCTGCACAACACAACTGATGGTCCCAACCCCATTGATAAAGCAAGAAATTCCACTAATTAACCCTGATAAGGCACATCTGTGAAGTGGAAACCATTTCAGGTGACTATCTCTTGAAGCTCATGGAGAGAATGCCAAGAGTGTGCAAAGCAGTAATCAGAGCAAAGGGTGGCTATTTTGAAGAAACTAGAATATAAAACACGTTTTCAGTTATTTCACCTTTTTTTGTTAAGTACATAACTCCACATGTGTTCATTCATAGTTTTGATGCCTTCAGTGAGAATCTACAATGTAAATAGTCATGAAAATAAAGAAAACGCATTGAATGAGAAGGTGTGTCCAAACTTTTGGCCTGTACTGTATACTCCACTGTGGGTATGTAGCGGCAGGGAGTGACAGGAGTAGTTGTTTGACAATATTTCCAGCCAAGGCAAAGTGAGGCATGCCCCTGATGCACAATGTAAAATGTGAATGATTTGTATGAACTACTGAGGCTTTCTTGGTTTTGGTTGATAATTTCTTGGGGAGGAAAACAAGGAAATGTATCAACCTGTAGCCCTGCTCTCTCTAGCTGGCGAACTAGGTCCTCGCGTTCATGGGCGGGAAAATGGCGTGCCCCCACCTCCTCATCCCCCAGCCTCTGTCGAGTAATGGTCATCCTCAGAAGCTGCGGAAGGAAACATGCAAAATCACTGCTTCTCTCAAACACATCTTCTCACGCAGTGGATCGAGCGAGGGGTCTTGTTATATGAGTGCTTTGTTAACTGCGTTTAAGTTTGTGTGTGTTTGTGCTGCTACCTTGTTATCCCCCTGGGCCTCCGTGAGTCTCTGAGTCAGCTCCTTCACCTCCTCGGCCAGCTGCTTCGCTCGTTCTCTCGAGTCTCTCAACAGCTGAGCCAGGTTTACCTAAGGAGAGGGTGGAGAAGAAGAGCGAATGACGTGAATGGTCAAAAAACAAAAGCAAAACAGCTGGTGACAGGCCACATAATCCATCAAAGAGACGGTCAAATGCAACAATAAAACCAATTCAATTAGGGTGCCATCTTAGAATTCTAAATAATCACAATCAGAACTAAAAAAAAATCCCATTATTTTGGCGTGCAGGTCAGCACAACACTGATGTTTCCTTGTTGTTTGTCCTCTAAACTGCAAGACTCCCTTTTTATAATGCAATTCAGCAGCCAACCCTTCAATTCAGGCTGTCAGAGCATCCTTGAAAGCACCACCAAGCAGAGTCCTGCAGCACTCCTGCAAGACACTCCCCCCCTAACATTTATTCTGCCTGTAATTATCTGGTAGAGGGGGCATGTGTTTCACTGTAGACAGATCAAGTCTGCAAGTGTGAGCATGTGATCTGTATTTGTTTGGTATTATGAGGCTGTTTGTCCACTGAGATCCTGTACTGGACGTGAACTCATGTTCCGGAGGTTATCCTCACCTTGCTAAATCAACAGAGCAAAAGGAGAGAGCGCTTTGATTCAACCACACCATGAAAGTTACACCTGAACATGGTGAAGGCAAATACTTAGAGCATTAGTTGCTGTAATTAAGTCTTAAAAATCAACCACAACTTACTTGATTGCGTTTTTCTGGTGGCAAAGAGGGGTCGCCATCCTAAAACATGAACATTCACATGATGAAAATATTCTTTGTTGTGGAATACAGTCAGCGAATATTACATTATGAATGCTGTTTAACAGTCCAATTTGCCTGACTGATTCACCAGAGAGTGCTAATAAACAAACAACTTGCATAGACAGACAGATAAAAATCACCTTGAAGGTTTTGAACCACTCACAATGAGTTCCCTGTACTTCTTCTTGAGTCCCTGGTGGCGCTCCCTCAGCTGGTTAGCCATCAGCTTGTACTGGTCTCTCTCCTGCTGACAGGTATCCAGCTCCTTGGACAGAATGAGTAGGGCCTCTTTCTTACTCTCCAGCTTACGTTTACACACCAGAAACTACAGCAAACCACGCACAAAGGGAAAGAACAGAGAGCAGGTGTTTTAGAAGATGCATATAGCTTGATGTGTTAGTTCCAGAACGACAAGAGTACATCTGTATATGACATCCATCTATTATAACACCAACTGCAGTGGCTCTCAAATGGTGTGCCTTGGGATTTTGTGATAACCACACATTATTACTGCAATATTCAACTGGGCTTATACAAAAAGTTATGAATGAATTTTTCATTGACTGCAACAGTATGTTGTGTGCAAAGGATCTGGATCGAATATCGGCCCCGATATCATCAAAATAGTTGGATCGGGTATCGGAAAATGCAACCTACACCTCAGGAGATCCTTTCCCTTTTAATCTATTGCGACGTGAGCTACGTCATACGTCATGGAGTGAAGGAGAGAATCTGTTGTGTGGAGGTATTTCACACTATTTCAACTGCTGTTGCACAATTGTTTATTTTTGTTAAAAACAAAGAGTTCATCCTTGCATTAATCTGTTTCATCTTGTCTCATTTTATTTTAGTAAAGAACCGTGTAGTCATCAATGCCTGATGCCTCTAGTATTTTCTGTTCTACATGTAAAGTTATATGTAGCTTTTGAGGTCAACCATGGTATGGGCTCGGTATCGGGTATTGGCTGATACTCAAAGCCACAGCATCGGGACTGGTATCGAAACTGAAAAAGCTTGATCTGTGCATCTCTAGACCTTATACATCATTCTACTTGACTTAGACCTGTTGTCCTTGTTCGTGGACACTTTTTTGTGCCATCTAATGGTAGTAAGAGCACAATACGCTAATGCATGTATAAACAAGATGGCAGCCATAATCAGGTGAAGAGATTCCAACTGGCCACGCTGATCATGTGACTGTTTACTAGTGTTAAGAGGTTGTCTGAAGGAGAGTCTCTTTATTTGTCTTGATGAAGGCCCACATGGCCGAAACATGTCGACATTTTTAATCAGAACAAAGCCATGACTTAATAAAGGCTTTTTATTTTTCTACACCCTGAGTGCCTCAGTTTTTTTAATTTTCTTCCTATCATTTTTTTGATCCCCACACCGAAGAGCACCAGAAGCACACTTTTTCTACACCCAGCAGCACTCCATGCACCTCATGTTGTACTGAAGATGGCAGCCATCTCTGCCAAGTCAGTCTGCAGCTGATCCCAATACAAAAGTGGACAAGGTCCAAAACCTGAACAAAGTTTATGATTGAAACTTGTTTATTTATGTTTATCAATAATGTCTGTAGTTTGATATGGCAACAAATTTGACCAATTTTAGCAACATTAACAAGCTAAGACGCTGTTAATTAAGAAGTATTCATTTGAAGATATTGGGAATGTATTATCATTGACAAACGTTCAGGTCTCAGGAGGATATTTCCCTATCCTGGGATGTAAATGGTCAAATGATTCAACTGAGCAAATGATACCGACCCAGACCAGTTTGCTACAGGTGGAAAAACACACTCACAAGTGGAAGCCAAGTGTTTAAAGTGTTGATAAGACACAGCAGAAGGAACAGAGTCAACCTTGATAGCTGTCAGACCAGCTCATAACCAAATTAAACAGCAGCTGCTACAATGGAGCTGAAGGTGCAGTAGTAGTGTGGAATAAAGCAACGTCTCTAATGTAAAGTGGTGACTAACACTCAATGAACCAGACAGTTATTTTCTCACTTTAATGGACTGTTTGTGTATAAAACATCATACTTTAAAATTTAGGGGGGTTGTGGGCCACTCTGCATTAAAGAGCTATTAACTGGAGTAAGTTAAATATTATTGGTTATTTCTAATGATATTAACACGTAAATGCAGTCCCACAGGTGTCTCATATCTCGTCTATAAAGCGCCATACGTGTTTCAGAGGTGGGCAGGGGTGTCACTGCATTTCCAATCCAGATGCTCGGAGTGTGATGCTGTCGGCCTGACAGAGTAGCATGCTAGCTACCCCTTCAATCAATATTTAGCTTAGGTTACCTAGCAAAAGACGAATAAGTAACGTCAAGGGGGTTGCTATGTGGTATTAAGCAGCTCCTCGGGTCTATTAAGACAAGACACCGAAGCCCGTCTTTCCATATGGAAAAGGGGAGCTTCTCTATAATCAGTCCGTCCCTGCAACAGCTGTTCGCGGTCTTCGCCACTTACTTACCTCGCTGACGAGCCCCTGCCAGTCACTCTCGCTCCTCTTGGAAGACTGCATTATCCGCTTTATAAATATATATTTTTTGTTACAAAATGTCAGGATACAGGCTGCCGCACTGCTCTGTCTCCGTCTGAGCTGCCTCTCCTCCGTTTGTTTATCCTGCAACGTCACTTTTTTGGGCTCCGTTGTCAAGGCGGACTGAATGAGAACAGACAAATGATACGACTTCCGGTATAACGTTGACAATAAAAAATATAATTAAAAGAAATATAATGTGAGCAGTAATTCTGATTGAAATTTAACACCAGTTAATAAAAACACTTTAGAATCTTATTTTATTTGTACAAAAAAAAGGAACGCTCCTGACGAGATAATAAAACGGAAGCTGGAAAAGGTTTCCTTCACAATAAAAGCCTGTCACTGTGAAAATGTCACACTTTCAGCATATTTCGAAAAATAAGAAGCCACATATTTTTTATAAAATGCAAATTACGTCGGCCTTGATTCTTATTTTCTTGTATGGCATATCAACATGCTCGGTGCGCTGAGAGTGTTTGACTGATAACTATAAGACAAACACAATAAAACACATTTTAAAATCATATTTTTACACATTCATTTAGATAGACTACTGAGGTTTATACAGGCAGTGCATTCTGAGAATAACATTAAATATACCAAAAAGAAAAATCATAAGAGCATCTGTATGTTGTAAAGCTTGCATTTTCTGTGAGGACAAAGTTTTACAAATCTTTAATACTATTGATTTAAATTTAGAAAATCTTACCATACAGCTATTATTTTGATGACAGAACTAAGGTTGCAGTTTCTGGACATTAAATATTTCATGCACATCTGAGAACCACTCCAACAGCTCCAACCTGAAATCTTAGAGTTCAGGTCAATGCCTGTGACCTTGGCTTATACCAACACAAAGGAGGCACTGATGGAAATACTGAGCAAAGATTTACCTGAGAACAAATCAATGGATTAATCACTTTCATTTTTACTGGTGTCTTGATTTGATAGTACATGACTGGATAATTCTAAGCACATTAAACCAAGCTGAGGTTGCTACCCAAATCTATTTTATCCCAGCCTGTGGAATTTTAGAGTGTCTAAAAGTCTCTTTTCTTTCATTAATTAGTTGCTGGATTCAGATTAATCAAACTGTTTAAAACTGTCAATGTGGGACCTTAAACCTTTGCGATTCCTTCTCTTCAGGCCCAGTCTTAAGTTAAATTAGGCACTTCATTTTCATTTGTTACCCAGAGTTCATATAAACAGATCCTAAAAAAAATTCAGTTTTAGTTAACGGTTAATTATCAGAATTCTCTGGGAATTAAAGTTGTAGTCACCATCTCATCCGCTACACATATGCTGCTGTATGGCCACACGTGCAGGATCTCTCCAGGGTAGGAATTCTGCCAGTGAACCAGAGTTCTTGCCTTAGCTGCCTAATGACATTGAAAACTTAGAGGAGACAGGCCTGCAATATCCAAGAGTAGAATTTACGGCACTGATGAACAACAACACAGCATCAGGTCTTATTGCAGTTAGCTGCAGTTCTTTCAAATAAACTAAGTTATGGCAGGGCTCATTAACCTCTGAATAAATACCCCCCTAAATTGAACAGGGGCAACGACCCTGTTGGCAATATGCAGTTGACCTAATCAAAAGGGCTTAAACTGAGATTTTGACATGTTCCTGCTTTATGGGTGGCATAAAATGTTGGGAAGCACTGTTCTAAACATTTCCTTGAGGGGTGATGTCAAATTCCATCCTTTGCTTTTGGCAAATTTATAAACACGTCCAAAAAAATCAGGAAACATCGAGATCAGGTCAAGTTTGGCCGCGTCCTTCCTCTGGACTGCAAACAGAAAGAGAAATTGTGTTACAAAGACAGAAAAATTGAAGGAGCAGACATTTGCAGTAACTGATGTTGGCATGAATATAGGTGTGATGTGGGTCAGTGTGGAAGCATCAGCATGTTAGCATGCTTGTGTTAGCATTTAGATGAAACTGTGCCAAAAATAACAGCCTCTCACACCAGCGTATGAGGCCTATGCTAACTACAAAACATAGAAATAATAGCAAATTGTTTGAATTACAATTTATTGGCCTTGATAACAAATTATTCTAATGTTACCTGTCAGTGTTCCAGAACATGATCATGATCCAAACTATAGTTCCCTTTATGAATGTTGTACACATTCTGAGTTTGCTTTGCTGAAATGATCTTTCAGTCGTCTGAGCACCTCTTTCAGCTTGTCATTCATTTGCATGTCTGCAGATGTCAGTATGTCCTCAGGTACTGAAGTTATCCCCACTGATGTAAAGATGTTGGCCACATGTTTAACTGAAAGTAAGTTTGCAAATATGCCGTATGTGAAGACTCTGATGTCAGAGGAGTGCTGGTCCTTTATAAAAGGAGCAACTGTTTGGCATAACTTTTCAACTAAGTTGGGATCCCAGCCATTTGTGTCTTTTGTCTTCTGTGTTAACACATATTGTGTTTGCATATTATTTTTACATTTATCATGTCTCTTTTTTGAGCCAAGCTGTTTCAGTAGATGGGGGATTATAGCCAAAGCCTGCTCATTTGGTATGTCTTCCAAACAGTAAACATAGTGATGTCACACTTAGTGCAACAATAAATACTAGGCAAGCAGTGTACAGTGGCTTTTTAGAGCTTTTTCACTGAAAATAGCTCAACAGGCAGAGTTGTTGAGAGTGGAAACTGATGCAAAACGGTAAAGCTGCTGCCCATAAAACCACAATCATACCTTTAAACATTTATTTTGATACTTATGATTAGATTTACAGTATATTTTGAGAGTAACATTCAATATAAACAAAGAAAAAATCATACAAAAGCTTGTATATTCCATTACCATTTTGCATCTTGCATCTCCAATTGAAGTAAGTGCAAAGATCTGTTCAGATTTGTTTGATAAACAGGGAGTGGAATTGCAGCCCTTGTTTTACGCACATTTTTAGCTTGTCATTCAACATTCATTGTTCCTTTTACAATCTTTCTGAACAGTGGTACTTCTGAGAGGCCATGACAGCAGGTAATGGGACAAGGCCAATGGGACAGTCAAGAACATCTCAAGAAACTAAAATGACACAAAACACCATCTGTCCCTGCAGTTATTTGTGAAAGAAATCAACATAAAATATGATACTGTAATTTCATTAAATTTCCTAACATTAAACTGTAAAATGGTAAACATAACTATAGTGGTAAAATATATCAGCAGTAAAATATAAACAAAAAAAGTCAAACATAACAATAGTAACAATAATAATATTAATGGTCAAGAACAATTCCTCAAAATAAGTCAAAAATAAAAAGAAAGTCCCTTAAAACTAAATGACTGCACAGTATCTTATAACCGGTTCCAGAACAGCTGATCTGAGTTAGTTCAGTCAACTCTGAGTATGTTCAGTTAAGCCGACAATAAAAAGCCATCATCAATGGAGCTCCGACTCCACGATTCATCATGGCAACAGGTAAATAAAAGACAGCGCCTCCATTTTAATCCAGTGGATGTAGAGATATTAATGCATGTGTAGCGGACGGTGCACGTTTATCTTTAAAACAAGAGCCTGAGTTAGAGCGAGGAAAGTGTAAATAAGTTAACCATAAAGTTAATTAAAAAAAAGTTTTATTCGGTGTTGTCCGTTTATTCATCAATTATTAGACTTACATTTCCTTAATGAAGATAAAGTGGTGGAATCTGACTGTGTATCAGGCTGTAGATACATTAGGCTACATTATATTAATAATATATAATAATATATTTGTACAGATTTAATCTGATGGGGAAACACACAGGAGGCAGCAACTGAAAAATAGGAAGATTTAAAGCATATAGGCTAGGCTATAGATCAAAGACATAAAGACATGACTGTAAACTCACAGTCTGACCCAGTAATAATATGTTTGGTGATTTGCACTTGAAAAGACGTTGAGGTTAAAATACAGTAGATTTTAAAATGTTGGACATCTATTTGTATCTTGACTCAACAGCATTCAGTGACTTTATTTCAGCTACAAATGTAGTAAATTTAAAGACGCTGAAATGCTGCACCATTGCTCACTCAGAAATATTAACATATAATCCCCAATATTAGGCTATAGGAATTATGTTCCATCAGTGCGACCAATGACATCAGTGATAGAGATCATTAGTCATTGATACTACGTGTCTAAAGCTTCATACCAATTTTTAAAATTTAAATTAGACCTACACATTATGTGCAATAAACATTTCAGAGCTGCTCTAACAGACTGACAGTCTGATCCTTGTGCACAGCGTTATAAAAAATAATAAATATAAAAAGGACATAGGTTTGATTCTGAGCTGAGGGTGAATTCTCGTTGTGTAATATTTGAATGTAAAGACAAAAAGCGAAAAAGAAATGATTGATGTGCAAAAATTCAGTAACCTAAGACAGTCCTGAGTAACAAACTAATATCCAACAGGATTTAGACTGTGATAGACGGTAAATCTCCGCTAATTAATGCACTTCGATACAAGCTTTGACACGGACTGAATGAATGAGGAAATGAAACAGCATGTAAGAGGGAGGAGACAGAGAAAAACTCAGGGTTTCTTAAAGAAAACCTGCCGTTGAGCAGGTTATGTTCACAGAGTCAATTGCCATGGTGATTGACTCAGAGTTTGATTTACCTCTCTTTCTTGAACTGAAAACCCAGAGTTTCCCTCATTTCAGGGTTAACATACTCAGAGTTTTCACTAAACCCGCTTTCTGGAATACCCCTCTGGTGTTGGTCACATTGTCGTGGCTTACTGGGACACTTCAATAGAGGGCAGCCTTTGTTAATGTTATTTGTTACAATGTGCTTTTCCTTTTATGAGTCTGATAATGTCAGGTTTGAAAAAGACCCATGGCACTTGTTTTTTGTGCAGTCTTGTTGCCCTGTGCTGCTAAAACCTTGACATATGGGCGATACACTATAACTGTCATAAAGGACCATATGACATCAGAACTGCTTGTTGTTAATACAAAGCTTTGACTGTTAATAAGACTCTAAAGTGATTTTGAAGTCCTTGATGCTTTTTGATTTCAACTTGTGTCCTTATCAACTTTCAAGTCACTGGGAAGAGACTCTTGAACTGGGACAGTCAGGTGCTCCTCAGGACTTAAGGACAGCTTTGTGAAG